TGAGAGCTAACGAAAGGCTTGATCGAGTTCATGAGGTTGGTAAATTTGTGTTACCATCAAAGTTTTTTAGTAATCAACCCAAAATCCCGTGAATGACAAATGCACAATATGAAGCAATAATTAAGCAAAAACAGCAATGACTGATGATCAGAAACAATACCTCAATGAGCAACAATAAAGAATCGTTGTTTTGGAAACCCATGCTAACAGCAATGCAACATAAAATGCCTGTAGGCTAGTCAGATAGCATCATCCATCTTAGGACAAGTTTTTGTTGCAAGTTAGGCAAAAAACCCAACCTCTGCTACCAACCATGAAGTATGATTTTATTTATAAGTTTAATATTAATTTTTTTATTATATTTATTGATTTGATTTTAATACTTATATTTCATTATATATTATAGTAGGATGTTGAGACTCAAAGTATGACTACCATGGATGAGTTATCTAATTATTCACTCGATCATTTATCTAGAGGAAATTGTGTAACCATTGAGTTTGAGGAAGGGTTATTTGATAAACCATCATTTTCTTACATTGGTGTGGATGAGGTTAAAGAATTTTGTGAATTGGATGAAATATCAGCTGTTGATATTGTTGCTTATATGAGGTTAGCTTATAAATACAAATATGTAAACTCAATATGTATTAATCTATATTATGTTGTATTACTAACTAGTATTATTGATTGTTATCGTGCAGCTTCCTATATACAGAGGTAAAGGCGAGATAGTTGACCCACAGATTTAGATTCGTTAACCCCAACTTCATTAGTGAGCAGAGTGGCACAGTCACTTTTCGTGCTAATCATGTGATTGAATGCATGAAAAAATCGATTGATTATTATTTGCAATCGTCATACTTACTTAATTTAGCTTAACCAACGGCGATGCCTAACTCCAAAATTCAAAATTTTATAAAGAGGTATTACATTATATTATATATATTTTTTATTTTTTCATAAGTAATTTTATTGATGTATTAAGTAATTTTTTTCTTTCAATTTAGTGTAATATCTGCATTTGATAAGAAGGCAAAGAAAAAATAAGAGTCATTACCGGTAAATGTGAAATTTATTCTTTTATGCTAAGTTTTGTAGATAAATTTTTCTAAACCCACTCAATTTAATTTTCAAGTACCTTGTCAATCCGGATATACTGAATGTGGATATTATTCCTTCATTTTATGTGAGAGATAGTTTTATATGATTTTATGATCACACCATTTAAAGTTAGTATAAATTTCATAAAGTTGTTATATCTTAAAAAAAATAAAAAGCTAAATTATGTTCTCATTTATTAACATTTACTTTTGATATTTTTTTTAGTAGGAGAGTAAAGAAAGCTTCATGATAGAAGAACTTGATGAAGTCCGTAAAGAATGGTGTGAGTATATATTATCATTTATTGATAAACCTTGAGGTTGGACAGTTGGTTGAATGTATATATATAAGGATCATTTGTTATAATGTTTTTAACATGCCATGTTGAATGGATAATTTAAGTTTGTAGATTAGGGAATTGGTTTAATATTATTTGTATATATTTATTTTATATGAATACACATATATTGAGTACAATTATTTGAGAAAAGTATATTATATTAATATGGCAACATTATCAGTTTTAAATTCGGATGTGTGATCAATTTATTAAAATACAACAATGTTCATAATGTAAATTTCAAAATGTAATTTGCAGTATCACATATATAAACCAAATATTTTTTTGGTATAAGCCTACAACTTACTTCAAATATTTTTTAAGCATAAACTTACAACTGACTTCACATATATAATTAAACCAAACCTTTTTTTTATGGGATTACTAAAGGCATTTTTAGTAAAAAAAATACTTTAAATAATCCCTAACAAAATGTTATTGAAAGCGTTTTTTACCAAAATTGCATTCAATAATCCCACCTAAAATTTTATTGTGTGAATTATTAAAGGCATTTTGGGTCAAAAACGCTTTTAAAAATCCATTCTAAATTTTTTGTAGGGATTATTGAAGGTATTTTAAACCAAAATCGCCTTCAATAATCTTTTATGACAATTTATTAATTGGATTATTGAAGGTACTTTCGACCAAAAATACCTTCAAGAATCGTTCTATATTTTTCTTATGGATTATTAAAGATATTTTTCTACCGAAAATACCTTCAATATTCTCACTCCAAATTTTTAAAATTGATTGGTGAAGACATTTTTGCCCAAAAAATGCCTAGAATAATTTATTACAAATAATCCCTTTAAAAACTCAAAAAAGTTAAAGGAAGGGATTGAACCTACCAACTTATGGTTAATAATTATATGATCCTTAAATTTTGATAGGATATTTATTAAAGACGTTTTTGACCAAAAATGCCTTCAATAATCTTGTGAAATTCTTTCGTGGAATTATTAAATACGTTTCTTGCAGAAAACGCCTTCAATAATCACATATAATTTTTTATGAAGGGATTATTCAAAGCGTTGTTTGTCAAAAATAACTTTAATTATCTCCTATTTATTTTTTTAACTAGATTATTCAAACTATTTTATACCAAAAATATCATCAGTATTCATGTAAATTTTTAAGACAAAATTATTTAATACGTTTTAATCAATAAACATCGTTAATATCAAATTTTTGGTGACATTTTTAAATAAAAATATTATTATTTAAATATTTAATAATATTTTAATAATAAATATTTTAAATTTTATAAAAATATAAAAGATAATGACGTTTGTAAGTGAAATGTTACTAAAAATCTGTCACTAATATTCTATTTTTCTTTGTAGTGAACGACTTTAAAAGATGATGTGATGCTTGGATCATTCTCAGCCACATGTGACAAATGCTTATTAGCAAGTACTGAGCCTTACATTATGCTTGCGCCAGGCTCGGCATTCCGATTTGATTGTACCAAAGTTGTCATAGGAAGCCTAGATAGTAATAATATGTCAAAGACAACACCCTGAGGAAGACGCTCCATCCTTCTAGTTGTTCTGCATTACAAGTTAGCTTCTTCTTAAACTGTTGTCAAGAAAGTACATTAATAGGTAGATATTTAAAAGGCCTTTTGACTGACTCTAAACTGGAAAATTAGAAGGCCTTTTGACTCTAAATTTTGGTTTTACCCTTTAGAAACATGGTAAATACATACTTCTCAGCATCTGACCAAAAGGCCTTTTGACTGACTCTAAATTGGAAAATCATGTCAAGTAGTTTATCGACATGTTCAGTGGCTTAAACCCCTTCACTAGCTTTGAACATTCATAAAAAGATTCAGTTCACATAAACCCAGTTTCAATAAAGAAGAGAATAACGTAACAAACAAATGTTTCAAACAATTTCCAACAACAAACTAAAATGTACTATCAAATAAACAAGATGGTAAAGATCAGTTAGAATAAATGAAAATTAATTTGATAAAGTCAAAGTGGTGAATTCTGACAAGAATAAAGGTTTCTTTGGCTAAGTTAAAATTTTTTGTGAGGAGTGTTTTCTCTATTGTTCTGTTCTGAAACTTGACCTATGTATTGTTTTCGGTATTTCAGAGGTGATGCACTGATTTTCAGATTTTGTTCCTGTCTCGCTTTTGTTTCCAGAGATGGAGAAAGAAATGGTTGTGCAAGAAGGGCCCATGGGCATATTAACTTTGATCCAATTAATGTAGGAAACCATATTTCACGTTTTAGTGTATTTTTTGGGCCAAAAACTTCGTTCTTTAAAAAAAAAAAAAAAACTAAACTGAATTTTAGGTGTCTCACTGAAATTTCTCAATGAAAAATATTGGAGTACCCAGTAAAAAACTAAAAGAAAAACGATCTTTTTTATTTTGCTATTTTTAAATACAAAAATAAAAAAAATGACATAATATTTTTTATCACATGTCAAGATTTCATTAAATGTTTTTTATTATATCAACCAATTAATTAATAGTGTTAGTCAAAATGATAAAAATGTGTAAGGAAAATAAACTTCAAATATTTTATTACGAATTTTTATTTTTCATAAATTAATTTGACAAGAGTAATATAATTCAAAAATCAAATGAGTATTTAACCTTAATTTATTAATTGATTTAATTTATTCTAGATATATAACAGTTATGACACATATTTTATTGCGATAATAATTTTTAATTGTAAACACAAATCCATTAAAAAGATAAACTCTATATTTCTTTACAAGACAACTTTCATTAATCTCAAATGGACACTCCAATGATTAAGAATCTATCCAACTTTGAAGGTTTCATATTTAAATTCTATAATAATTAGAAATAGTTGAAATTTATAGAATATGAGAGAAGATTACATCTTATTATACAACTAATCAAAATTTTATAAATGTATATACTTTAATTATTATCCACTTTTAATACTTTAGAGTCATTCTGAAATTCAGACTTCTTAGATTGATATCTTGACATTTGAGTCAACTTTCTCTTTCTTCTGGTGGAAATTTTTTTTGTTTATAAGAGCCAATAAAAATTAGTCCACATTTCCCTCGTTCCCTATTGTTGAGCAGTCTCAAAGAATTTTCCACAAACATTATTAATTCTGACCTAGTCAATACCTATCTTTAAATTTGATATCTTAAGTTTAATTAGTAAATGATTATCACAATTAATTTCTCTAAACAATTAAAAACTTTTTTGACCATTTAACCAACTTAGCGTGTCTCATCCAATAATTAAAGATATTGTTATAAAAATTAGTGGGCCTTAGCTCTTTTTTCTTTGTTTTATTTTCAAATTTTCATTTGGATTCAAATCTTAGTGAAAGGAACATTACAGATTAGATATTATTGAAGAAAGAATAATATCTTTAAATGATCAAAAAATTAAAAATAATTAATATATTTAAGATAATTTTGTACTTGTATAATAGATTCAATTCATCTTATTTTATCATACGTGGATGTGATGCAATTTCAAAAAATGAACTTGATAATTCCAATAAAATTTTATTCTAGCATTAAGCAATAACCTTGATATCTATACCTATATATAACAGATATCTATTACTGTAATTTATTCCAATTGCTTGCCAAATCAACATTTTTATTATTCATTTGAGTACCGTATCTGCAAATGATTAACCAATTAGCAATTTATTTCGTTGCCATCTAAGCAACTCAGAAACCATAGATTATCTCCAACCCTCTTTCGCCTTTCTCTTCTCCTTTTCTCAAAAACCTCTCTATAAATTTTCTTCAAAAGATCGAAAATCAACCTCCTTCTTTCTTCGTTTCAAACCCAGCTAAGAGGGAAAAAAAACTTGCAATGAAGCCCAAAAGTCAAATGATAAAACCCAGTGTTCTTGGTGGTCTGCCACTGTTGCTTTCACCTTTTGCCGCACCTCCAACAATGCAGCTTCTTAGCCCAAACCCTATAAGAGAAACTAGAAAACTCTAGAAAAATTTTAAAAGAAACCCAAAAAAAAAAAAAAACCTTTGCCCATTTTCTTTCTTTACAATTTTATTTTCTTTGTAATTGCTTGTGTGCACTTATTTTTACTTTGATCTTTGATGTGTTGGCGATTGTTTGGCTTTGCTTGGAATTGCTGGGTTTGATTGGATTTCTGGATTTAATCTTTTTTGACAAGAAAAAAACTAAAAAAAGGAAAAAGAAAAAAGCAAAGCCCGAAGAATCATCATATTTACCCTCTATGATAGTTTCTCTGCTTTTTTTTATAGCATTCTTCAAATTGTTGGAGCTTTGCTGTTGTGTAATCATCTACCTCATTTCTTTGTTCTTTTTACCTTAAATGAATATTCTGATGTTGATGTTGTTCTTTTTGTAAGGATGCGTTTTTTGGGCCATTTGATGTGCGAAATTGAAGGAAACCATCTGACAAAGGTAGTTGCCAAATAAAGCGAGAAGATTTGAGGAGGAAGAGGAAGGCGTTTTTGGATGGGTAATTTTTCTTACTTTTTTTTTAATTTCTTTGCATGTTTTATATACTCTTTTTGTTTTGCTTTACATGCAATTGTTATAGGAAAAAAAATCAGTTTTTTCCAATTTGTGAATTTCTAATAAAACTTTTTTGAGGTTTAATTAGAATAATAATTACTGAAATAAGGCAAATTTGAATGTAAAATGTGTAATTATTCGTTGAAGTTTTTAGTAATCTCAAATACTTTGTTGAATTGTCGGTTTCTTTACTTTTAGGCAAAATTGATGCATTGAAAGATTAGGCTGCATTTGAGGGTATCCAAGTGTGTTTTCTTATCTTCTTTTGTCCTTGGTGATATTTAATTCAAGAAATTCATAATTCGAAACTTTCATGCCATGATGTTGCCACAATGGATTCAACAAGTTGTAACTCTTTTCTGTGGGTTATTATTGGGTACAATCCCTATAGTTGGAGTCATTTGGATCTTCATATAGGTTTCTTAGATTCATGTTGCATGTATTTGTAAATTGTAGTGTTTTGATTTCTATTGGATTGTTGAATCTATCCCAAGCCCAAATGAATGTTGGGTAGTGTAGTGCTCTCACTTTCTTAGGATTATTGATAAAATAAAGGCAATTATTTATAGTTAATTGTAAGTTAATTCCTATCTCTTTCAAAAAATCTCAAATTCCATTTTCTGAAATTGGATCAACACAAGTGTTGATCTAAAACCAAAGACAAAAAAAAAATATTTTCTATATATATGCTTATTAAAGATAAAAAACATATAAATGTACACGACTCAACACTTCTTTGGTATCCTCACTTAGCAAATTACCTTTTCTTTTTTTTTTTAATTTCCTGTCTCATTCATTTTTTTTTTTAATTTTATCAATGTTTTTTCAAAAAGATTTTGCTTTTATATAACAAAAACAAAATTAACCCTAGTCCATACATGTTTCTTGATTGCTATTGTCAATTTAATTTTGTTGAAAAATCTCAATTATGCTTTATTTTGGTATTTTCTTTATTAGTTTCTTTAAAATTTTTGTTTTCTTTGCAATGATTTGTGCCTGAAGAAGACTTACAGTGAATTTTTTTATGTTGGAATTCATATTAATTTTCTATATGTAAATGAAAATCATCCTAATTCACGTAGATATTTTGGGTATTTTCAGGATAATTTAGTTGACTTGACCTAAGTCAATGCAGGTGATCCAATATCTGCATTTAATTTGTTTCTAAGGATCATATATTTTTAGCTTAGGATTTACTGCTATTGATTTGAGCTAATTTTTTTTTTTTTTTATAAATTTAATTCTCCAGACAATGTATAAAGATATAATGTTGAAGTTTGGGCTCAATAATCACATTGAATCCATGACTAAGTTTGTTGTTTGCTTGCTGCTTTTTTTGGTTATATAAGTAAACTAATGATATGTTGCTTTTCTATCAGATATTTTTGTCCAAAGTGGTTACCAGACAATATGCAAAAAATTAGACATTTTCTGTGTTTTCCATTTTTTAAGGCTTCTGTTTCTTACCATGCATAATTGATATTCATTTTTGTCTATTTGAATTAAATGTCCATCCCATCTATAGATTTAGCATAATATTTTTATTAAAATCTAAAGATTTAACATTTAAAGTGTATCACGATGAAACTTGAGTTACCTACCATACTTCAAACCTTTGGATGAGAAACCAAAATCGATCACTCTACCATTTGATAGGCCACTACTTGATCTCGAGCAAAAATATTATTGTGGTAAGTTGCTTTTCAACTATTTAAAATTTATATATTTACTCATTTTAGGATATTTAAAACATTTATTAGGTGTTCTTCAAGAACTCATTATTGGTGTAAAGCTATATAGTAAGGATTCATGAGGAGTTAAGACCCATTCCAAGGACAAATTTTCAACTATATCATATTATGTGAATGTAATGTTAGTTTTATTTTCTTGGGCTTTAAGTGATTGAATCTAATCTTCAGCATTGACACATTTTTTTGGTAACTCTTAAATTTTCAAGTTGTTTTTGCAGGTTTTTATTTTTTAAGTTAATATAATTCGACAACAGAATATAAAGTAGCATTCACACAAAAAGAGTCTATTGAGACTGTCTTTTGTTTCTTTGCTGCAATCTTTTATCCACCAGATAGAGAACTAATAGTATGCATGATAAATGGAATTTGTTCACTCAAATTCTATAATTCTATTTCCTCTCTTGCTCATCACCATGTTTACCATGAAATGATAGGCTTAAGGTAGTTTGTTTGAGATAATTTAAGAAGCTGTTTTTTGGAGCATTTTTTTGGGAATTAGGAATTCTGGGTTTCATTAGTACTGCTAAGCTTGACCTCAAACAAGATACTACTGTCTCTACCTGTTTTAGCTATGTTGATATTTTTTTCTCATACTAATAGGATAGTTTAATAAAATGAGGCTCACAATAAATGAGGATTACTTCAAGCAAATTTGAAGCAAAGACTAGCTTTTTGTATGCCAATTGTGCTAAAGGACCTGCGGATAATTTTTTTATCTATTGAGTTAGAAAATCAAATTGAAACTTTTAGCAAATGTTATACCTAATGATTATTGTTAAAGATATTAGTTGTGCTTCTTTAGTTTCGCAAAACATTCTGCTTTTGTAAAAGAATAACATTCTCTTTGTGCAAGCTTGGCTTACTACTATCTCATTGGCTATTTGTAAGGTTAGTCTTATATTTCAATAAAATCTGCCATGTAAAAGCTTCATGTTCTTTTCCATGATGGTTATATCGTCATACTCCATTTTGCCATGTTTCAACAATTATAGGCTTTGATCTGTTCAAATGCTAAAAAAGGAAAAAGAAACGCTTTCTGCTATAAGAGAAAAGTAACTAAAAGTATTCATCTGCTTAAGTGGTCTATACCGTAACTGTTGTAGTCAATATTTGTTTTTTTTGCTAAAAACTTTTACTTCTTTGCCTCATTAACATTTTAGTGATGAATTGTGTGGAAAATTTCCACCAGAAGAGGATTTAGAGTTTTGAGTGAAGCACTACTTGAAGATCAACTATATACACCTAACTTAGTGCCCATTTGGATTCCATGGTATCTTCGGTGCAATGTGATTAAACTTATTGCATCACCAGTTGAATTTAAATGTTAACTCCAATAAAGTTCGTTTATCATAAATTTTTCATTGAAATTTTTTTTCATTCGTAGCTATAATAATTTTTTTTCAATCACAACTGCAGTGCATTTATTATTGTTTTTAATTTTACTGCAGATAATTTCATTACCCATCTAAATGGAGCTTTAGAAAGTATAAAGCTTACTCCGAGTTAAACATTTTGTGATTTTAAGCCTTGGAAGGGAACATATAAACATAAAATGCTAAGATTGATACTATTCACCCAACTTACGAGATTTGTTACTTAATTTTAATTGTTCAATGTTTTATTTTATTTCATTATCATTTTAAATATTTTTACATTTTTATAAATTAATTTAATCAAATGTTAATAATAAATTTGGAGTGAAACCCGAGCATCCTTCTAGTTAAATTAATTTCTATGGTTAAATTAATTTCTATTGTATTGTGGCAAAAAAAAATCCGTCTAGAATAATATTTTTCACTTGTTTAATGATGTGCTCCTTCGAATTGCAATTGACTTAAAAGGTTTTCACTTGTTTAATGATGAGCTCCTTCGAATTGCAATTGACTTAAAGGACAGTGAAATTTTGACTTCCAGTTTCTTGTTAATTAATAGGCCTCATTTTGCTAGATTTAATAATTAATTATTATTATTTTTTAAAAAATTTTGCAGATAACATCACAATCATTTTATGTTGGAACTTAAATCATGCGGTCAGTTGGTGCACTAATGATTCTAGTGTTCTCCCACAAGCAACACATAAATGAAGTGGAAGATAATATTAAAAAAATGTGAAAGAGACTCAAAGCTCATCATTTTCCGTTTATTTCAAATGAGTGTATATATAATGGAGATTGATATATGCAGCCAACTAAGGGTTTTTCTGGTAAATTAATCAGCTGATTTTTTTAATCAAAGCAAAGTTCGTGAGTTACGAACTTCCTTGAATATGGATGCTTTATATTTATAATGTTAATTAAAAAATAAAATTGCTTTTTGTCAATCACTTTCTCATATTATATATTCCCCAAAACAATTATTCCCATGAACTAAAGAAAAGCAAAATGCAAGGAACCTTGGTTTCAACTTACAAGGAAGAAAAAGTCATTCATTTACATTGTAAACCCTGGTTTGTTGTTTCTCAATTACGGTATAAACTGTGGGCTAATAATACCAGATGACACTTTGAAAATGACAACAATTGTATGACTGAAATGTTGTCACACACAACCATGATTATTGTTATGAAATATGAAATATATTGTAAATATATATTCAACAATAAGTGTCAAAATTAATTGCAATTGCAAAGATTCAATTTTAATCCACATTTGTAGGCCATTTTTTTTATCTCCAAAGTAAGTGCTCACCAGACTTTAGCCCATGATTTTTGAATTTCTTTTTGTTTCTTTCTTGGAATCCATGCTTATATATTGGAATGCAACTATATGTGCATAATTGCATTTGCAAGTTGATGATAAAATGGAATGAGTGCAGAGAAACACTATGAGTGGAGCCATGGATGATGGGTCTCCATCAAGGGATGCTACTACAGGGAATTGATTCTTACTCCTTTGAGGGAGTCCAAATTTGGGTCCCCATAAATAAAAGAGTTCCTTAACCTTAACTACACATTATCCTCATCATCGTTACTGTAATAAAAATCGATATTATTACATATATATAATATGCACCAAATGGAAATATCTATGAAAAAAATAGGGATTCGATCCAAACTCTCAAACCAGTTATGATTCTATTGATCAGATAAATTTACCAATAATTGGGACAGCTCAAACCTGGATTGAATAAAAGATCTTCCTCGACTCAACTTTTTGTCTCTAAGATTACATTTGGTAGCTCTCTTTTTTCTGGGTTCGTATGTACTGAAATGGACTGTAAAGGAACCTTAAATTGTATTTGCTACGATCAGTTCATTTTCTATCGCTTCAAAAGATGGATATTAGAACAAAAAAAAAAAAAAAGTCCATGGAAAGCTTTGTATACCATATCAATATCAGGCAACTTTGTCGGCATGTTGGCCTAAACTAGACCCCACAAATTATAGAAAAAAAAAAAGACATGAGTGAAAAAAAAGTGCCCTTAAAAAAGAACCCAATAAACCTTTTGTGAAAAAAACTGGCACTGACAAGGAAAAACACCACCACCACTTGCCATTATCAAAACCTATTTACAAAAGGTAGCCTTCCATTTCCAAGCTCTCACCCCCAATCCGAATTCCTGAAATCAAGCCTCTTACCATTGCCAGAAACACCCAAACTAGAAAAAAAAATGTGGCGTATGCTGGTAGTTTTGAGACGAAATCTGCAAAACATCAAAAAGAGCCCCCGAGTGGCCGATGAGAACATGTTTGGAGGTGCAGGTAATAACAATAATGGAGCTGAGATGCCAATTTTCATTGACGGAAGATCCCGTGGTTCCTGGAATGGTCTTTCTGTCATTTGCAGCGTTGTTAGAGCTCCTCTTTCTTTAGTTTCTTGCTTCTCTGAACCCCATGTTAACGGAGCTGATGGAGTTTGGGTGTCAAGTGAATTTGCTCAAATTTCAGAGATGAATCACCTGATGGTGAGTGATAGCTTGCGGTATGCAATCTTGTTGTAAAAATGAGATACAAGTAAATCTTAGAATTGTTTTCTTTTCTTTTCTTTTTGGGCAATCAATCAAGGAAGGGGAATTTTGCTGTGTGTTCTTTGTTAGGTACTTTGCATGGATTGACAAAATTATAAATTGTTGGCTTTTTTTTTTCCTTTTAATTTTGTTTTGGGCCTTTGGATTGTGATCCATGTAATTTCCCTTATATTTTGCTGTGTGTTCTTTGTTAGATACTTTGCCTGGATTGACAAAATTATGAATTGTTGGCTTTTTTTTTTCCTTTTAATTTTGTTTTGGGCCGTTGGATTGTGACCCATGTAATTTCCCTTATCAATAAATAAATAAATATACACACACACACATATATATATATATATATATGTGGAAAAGAACAAATTACCATGTGTGAATTTAGGTGTTCAATCTTATTGAATAAAATCAAGAGTTTGTCTTTGTTGGCTCTTTGATTAATTAATTTATATTGATTTTAATAATTCTTAATTTTGATTCCTTGAATTATAAATCAACTATCCAACAAAGTAAATTTAAATACTGATTTTATTATGCTGGAATTAGAATAGAAAAAGAACCCAGAAGCCTAATCTTATATGCTTGAAACAATAAAGTAATGGCACTTATGAAAAAAAAATGAGAACAAAAATGTTTCAGTAGAGTGGTGAATAGTGATATGTGGTTTTCATTTTTATTAGCTCACCACTGCCGGGTATCATTGCTACAAGTAAATATTATTTTTTTATCACCATTTAAGCATTATTTTTTGATCAAGTACATGCACGATGACAATTTCTTTCAATCATTGATTTATAACAATTTTGCAAAATGTTTAAAAAAAATCTTCCAAATTCAACGTAAAATGTAGAATTTTTGAAGAAAGTAATAGGAAAATCCATCAACAAAGAAATGTACTAATTAAACTACAAATTAATTTTCAATGAAAAAAGAATCTCTTTAAATTATTAGGAGAGAATGAGCTTAAAAGTCTACAAATCGCCTCAAGATTAACTCTTATAGGCCATATATTTGTATGCACTTAATTTGATAATCAATTAAATCGAATCAAATCTACAGAACATTGAAATGAAAGCCTCCACTTTCCCAGACACCAACTATCTCTTACCACGTCGTTGATTCCAAAAGACAAACTTGAAGACAAAAACACTTCAAGTTGGATTTAGAGCACTTTTGCAATGAAATTAAATCAATTACTATAATGTTGTCAATAGTGATTAGGCAGCCTAATGATCTTTATTTATATATTTAGGTACAAAGAAAGTGTGCAAAATTTGCATTCAAATGTTGAAATGCCTGTGGAATTGGTTGAAGGATAGGGAAATTTAGGAACACAAATAATTTTTATTTTTTCAAAATTTCAAAAGTGCTGCTTTTTAACTTTTTACGCTCCATTATTAAGATTTTTAATAGCATATATATATATATATATATTAAAATGTTATTGTTTGAAAGCAATTTTGCTATGATTATTGTCAAATTGAAGAATTCCTTTGACATTTCCATATCCCCAAACAATAAAACCAGTTAGTTGGTAATCATTAGGAGGGCCTAATGGATTTGCATTAAGTGTGCAAATGAGGTAAGAGTCCTGAGAAAGACTCAAAGGAGAAATGATGTGGTTGGGGTTATGTCCATTTTTAGTGGGAAATGAAAAACAATAAGAGTCAACTGCTCCAACTCCATGTTTCTTATCGTAATAAGGGAGTTCTAACGTGCGCTGATGGTCGTGAGTGAGTGCCACCCCTATATACAAATTTTTTTGAAAAGACCCCCTATATACAATTAATTTTAATAGAAGGTACTTTGGTTGGTTTCAGATTTTTCTTAAATTCTCACTCACCCAATTTTGTTGGCAAACACTCATTCTTTAATTCAGATAAATCTTTTTGTTTTTCCATATATATCCTTATCTCAATTTTGTGAGTTGTTTGTAGCTTTCCAACAAGTGGAATCAATTATTCATCCACAAATGTCCGTGTGCAAGTTGAAAGTTTAAAACATGAATTTCAAATTTAATTAGAGTAATCTAATGTAAGTTTTATATTTAGGTTATTCTAACATTGACATATGGAAAGTGTATATTATTCCATAGAATTTCAAAAAGGGAAAAAATATGTAATAATTAATTCTTATGTTGACAATGGGTTTTTAATTTAAAGAAAATTATGTGTGAGATTACTAACTCTTTTATTCTATAAGTTTTTTTTTTTTTTTTTTTTGAGGAGGGATCAATTTATATCAATATAAAAAAAATTTATATATTTTTTTAATCATTGATTTCAATAGATACTAATAATGAGATTAAACTTTTTTTTTTTTACTTGTTCTCTCATTCCTTAAATTTATTGAAATCAATGATTAGAAAAAAATTAAAACTAAAAAATTTTACATTGATATAAATTGATCTTGCTCCTTTTATTTTTATCATGAGATCTTTTTATTGTATAATTTAGACATACCTTGTTATATATATTGATAGTTTAAGACATAAATTGACAAAAAATGTCAACAAATACAATCTTAATCTCTCTCAAACAATTAAAAATGAAACAATGAATATGGTGTCATGTGTTTAAATAATTTTCATTTTTTGTTTCAAAAAAGAAAAGAAAAAAAAAGGAGGTTTATGTGTGAAAGAGTTGAACATACATAGAACAAAAAAAAAAAAAAAAACGGATGAAATAGCATTTCACTTATTGAAATCATTTTCATTTTATCATTTCATTTTTTTTAAAAAAAATAGTAATAATTAATGACAATGCTCCATCATTCTATGCTTAATTCTTGGAAAAATCTGTTGCAATATTATACCTTTCAACTTCACATCTCATATTAGCAATCATACGTTTAGTGGGAATTGCAAAAGCTAAAATAACCATAAACTAAAGTAACTTTGCTCTTACCTTTTGTCTTTTATCTTTTGCTTAATCAACACGATTTGTAAGTGCTAAGCTCTAAAATTTCTTCAAATTTTTTATTAAAAAAATTACAGTGGAAGAATAAAAAAATTATAAATATTAGAATTTTTAATTTTTAATTTATCAAATACTACCTTTTAAAAATAAATGCATAAATTAATTAAAATAAATTTTAAAATTTAAAATTTAATTCAATTGATTATATAATCATGATTAAAAGATAAAATATATATTTAAATTATAATTCAATAATCAGTTAAACTCTTAATATTTTATTATAATCAAACAAATCCTTAATCTTTTATTTTTATTTAATTGAATCTTTAATTGAATGAAATCTACTTACATAGAAAAAAATGAATTAAGCAATCACTGAATTACAGTTAATTAGACTCTTAAGTAACATTTGGTATGGGATGATCACTTCAAAAATCATAATAATTTACATATGATAATTAAATGATAGTATTTTGTAAATATTTGGTGATTCTACATAGTAGTGATCTTAAATCATCGAGAGTGATTAAATCATTGTTAGAGGATGATCTAATTCCCATTTAAAATGATAAAAAAATTTTATTTTCAAGGTGAAGTGATATGTGAAACTTTTATCATCAAGGTGAAATAATATGTAAAATTAGTAATAGTCATTATTACCCATTTAATATGTGAATTACAAATTTGATTTTTCTTATAATCATAATTATTTTATATTATAAATTTTTATATTTTCAAATTAATATTCATTATAACAAATTTAAAAATAATTTAAATATTTTTTACTTTTTATAATATTTTATATATAATATAATGTCTTTGTTTTTTATTATGATTTTAATAGATTAGTTTTATTTTCTAATTCAAATATTTTTTATATAATTTATATTATAAAAATTAGATTACTTAATAAATATATGTAATAATTTAATAATTTAATTATATTTATTATAAAATAAATAAAATATTATTATGTTTTATGAATTATTATCTTTAAACAATTAACTTGTGTAATTATTACAATAAAGATAGTTATTTTCATACTTTTAAATAAAAATATATTTGATTTTTAGTATTATCGAATACAATGATATTTAATTTGTAGGAATTAATGATTGTTAACAAAATAAAATGATTTCAAATCACAAATGATAAGATCACCTTAGTAATAAAATTACCTCGATGATTACATTACCATGATAATCTTGAAAATGGTACCAAATGCTACCTTAGAGGGATTTTAGAGAGAAAGTGAGAGAAAAAATAGAAAAAAATTATTTTATTTAATTTTCTCATATACTAATTGAGCAATGTAGTAAAATTTCATTTATTTTATTGATATTATATGAAATTTTATTTTAGTTGAAAAAAAATTAAAGATGTTAACTTTTTCATCCAAATAAACGTTTTTGAATGTAAATAAATATTGGAAGGGTTAATTGATTGTAATAAAAAAAATAAGGGCTTGGATGATTTTTTAATTATAATTTAAGAGGTTTTTATATCCTTTAATCTAAAATTATCTTTAAAAAATGATATCCAATAAATTTAAATTTAAAATTTTAGTACCTAAAACGTCTTTTTCTTTCTCGAGTTACAACTTTTTTTTTTCTAATATTCCAAATTCATTTTTTTCCCTTCTGGATGCATTGAAAAAGACAAAAGAAGAATAAAGAATATTATCAAGAAAAGATGGAAAATAATTGAGCTTTGATAATGACTAAGCTTTACTTGATTATGAGTAGCATTTTGCAAGACTCTTAAAATTAAAATTTCAAAAGGTATAGTAGTGGTGTTGAAATTGATTATCTCTATGCAATCATATTATATATTATATTACAACATATAAGAATATTTAATAAATTTTACTTACATGTAATTTTATATGTATAATCTAATTTGATGACATGTAAAATAATTTTAAATACATGCCAAATAAGCATCTTACATTACTTAACTACTAAATAATTGGTTAATCATTTATCTTTCTTCTTATTTTTTGTACATAAGAAACTTTTCGATAATAATTTTTAATATGTAAGTGTTATTTTTATTATAATGTTTATACTAACATGTAAGTGTTAATTTTATTATAATGTTTATACTAAATGAAAAGTGAAAAAAAAAAAAGAGTAAAGAGAATAATTGTTATTATTGCTACTATATTTACATTTTTAATATTGATCTTTTAAAATTTTATATTAACACTTTTTTCTCGAGTCAAAAAAGTGATAACATAATTGTGCGCAAAAATATTGAACCACAAATTATTTTTCGTGAAGGTAATGATAGTAAATTGTGCTTAATCAAAAAATATTTTTCAATTTAATAATTTTTAGATTAAATTTTTACTATTTTGTAACTTAAGTAGGTTTTATACATTTTTGTAATTTGAGTAGGATCTTTTACATTAATCATTAATTTTGAACTGCACATATTTTAA